GGGAATTCAAAGTTGTGATCAAGCTAGTTGCACGTGCTGATCTGCATCACCTAGGATTGTTTTTGGAGGGGAAACAACCAGATGCCCCACAGGAAGCTCTGCAGGTTCTTGACATTGTTCTTCGTGAGCTGCCGACCTCTAGGTACTGGTTACTCATCCTATGGATGTTTGCTTCTTGACTACCATGCTTGCAAGTCTCAGCTGGTTTAGTTTTCTAACATGTTAGAAACAGGTATACTCCGGTGGGCCGGTCCTTTTATTCCCCTGATATAGGAAGAAAGCAATCTTTGGGGGATGGCTTGGAGAGCTGGCGTGGATTCTACCAAAGCATTCGTCCTACACAGATGGGCTTATCACTCAATATTGGTGTGATGGCTTGCTGAATTACATTCAATAATTTTTGATATCTGGTTCTCCTTGTAATGTTTTAGCTCATGATTGTACTGCAATTTTGTCTCTTTTGTAGATATGTCATCGACAGCATTCATAGAGGCATCCCCTGTGATTAAGTTTGTCTGTGATTTGCTTAACCGGGATATTTCATCTCGACCTTTATCTGATGCTGATCGTGTTAAGGTATGAAACAATTGTAATTTTCTGGTTATCATTGTATGATCACTTTTTGTAGTAAGTGAAATGTTGTATTTATTTACTTTTCTTTGTTTAGTGACTTCAAATCTTCTTCTGTCAACAGATAAAAAAGGCTCTTAGAGGTGTCAAGGTTGAAGTGACTCATCGAGGAAACATGCGCCGGAAGTACCGTATTTCTGGCTTGACTGCTGTGGCCACTCGGGAATTGACGTGCGTATTTGTTTTGGATTTACCACTCTTATTTTGCCAATGTTGAACTTGATGAAATTAATTTTATACTCTTTGTTTTTATCCATTTCAGATTCCCAGTAGATGAACGAAATACTCAGAAATCTGTTGTAGAATACTTCCACGAAACATATGGTTTTCGCATTCAGCACACTCAACTACCATGCTTGCAAGTTGGGAATTCTAACAGGCCAAATTACTTACCAATGGAGGTAACTTTGAAATACATCATCAGGTTTTATTAGCTCACCAGTACTTCCTATTCTAATGTGTTGCTGCATAGGTATGCAAGATTGTTGAAGGCCAGCGATATTCGAAAAGATTGAATGAGAGACAGATCACTGCTTTGCTGAAGGTTACCTGTCAGCGCCCCCTAGAACGAGAAAAAGATATCTTACGGGTATGTTTCTTTATTTTGGATAACTTTGTTTTCCTTCACTTGAATGTTGAGTTTCTTATTGTTAGCCTATCTTGATAGTCGTTTTAATAATGGAAATTGGTGATTAAGGCTCATTGTAAAATAGTTGGATGTAAAATCTGTTTCTTCTTGCTTGGTTGCATGTGTTTGCTTGAAGCAAGTGATTTTTTTCTCAATTCATATCTTGCTAGTCGTTTTAAATCATATAAACTTGGGATTAAAGGCTCATTATGGAATGAATAGCTTTAAAGCCTGTTTCTTCTTACTTGGTTGCAAATGTTTGCTTGAAGCAGGTGATTTACCTTGACACGAGGCCTTTACTTAATAAATAGTGAGGCAGATTGCCATCATTAGAATTGTGCTCTTAATTTAGCTGTGCACTTATCACTTTTAATTTTGTTAGCATGTTGAGGTTCAGTATTCATATGCTGTTGAAGACTAAATTGTTTATTGCTAACATGATACAATTTTTTTTCTGATTGCCTAGACGGTAGAACTCAATAATTATAAGGAAGATCCCTATGCTAAGGAGTTTGGCATCAAAATAAGTACGTCTCTGGCTTCTGTTGAGGCTCGAATACTGCCTCCACCATGGGTATAATATTCGTTCATTTGTCTCTTTGCTATTACACTTTTTCTCTGTGTCTTAATTTCTCAAAATAGGGTTCCAATCTGATTTTACTGTTCTGCAGCTTAAGTACCACGAGTCTGGAAGGGAAGGGACTTGTCTGCCACAAGTTGGTCAATGGAACATGATGAATAAGGTAAATAAATGAAAACGTTCCTGGTTTTCAACTAAGTACTCAAATGTTATTTGCTTTTGTTACCTATAAAAATGTATACTTATGCTGTCATTTATATTTGAATATTTTTTAATCATGGCTGAGCTGTATTTCCAGGTAAGTAGCAAGAAAATTATTTATTTATTTCTCTGCTTAGGCATGTCATTCTAGAATTCTTTTCTCTTGATATGGGTAAGGCTGTGGCACTTGACTAGTAGTTGCAAAGAGTGTATTGTTTGTTCGTGTAGCTATGTATGTAAATACTCACTGAATTTGTTTGTTTTCGTTATTGAAAGTGATCACAACATTTTCTGTTGTTGTCTGGCTGATATGAGTCTTCTTTGCAGAAAATGATCAATGGTGGAACGGTGAATAATTGGATCTGCATCAACTTTTCTAGGCAAGTGCAGGACAATCTAGCTCGTACGTTTTGTCAGGAACTTGCTCAAATGTGCTATGTATCTGGCATGGTGAGTCTTGTAAAGCACAGCTTGATCAGTTTATTAACCTTTCCTACGCTGAATCCTACCCTTACTTTTTTTTCTTTCTTACCTGCAGGCCTTTAATCCTGAACCAGTCCTCCCACCAGTCAGTGCTCGCCCTGAGCAAGTAGAGAAGGTCTTGAAGACGAGATATCATGATGCCACCTCAAAACTCTCCCAAGGAAAGGAAATTGATCTGCTTATTGTCATTCTTCCAGACAATAACGGATCATTATATGGTATGAGCCATGTTCTAGGATGTCTCATCGTCTACTTCTTCTTATTAACACACTTTTAATGTTATCTTCCTCTATAATATCCATTGCAGGTGATTTAAAACGCATATGTGAGACTGAACTTGGCATTGTCTCTCAATGCTGCCTGACAAAACATGTCTTTAAGATGAGCAAACAATACATGGCTAATGTTGCGCTGAAGATTAATGTGAAGGTTGGAGGAAGGAATACAGTGCTTGTTGATGCTTTATCAAGGCGGATTCCACTAGTCAGTGATCGACCCACCATTATATTTGGTGCTGATGTTACCCATCCTCACCCTGGAGAGGATTCAAGCCCATCTATTGCTGCTGTAAGTTAGTCTCTCCTTTAACATCTAGTTCTGTATATGGATGCTTTTGTTTATTTCCATGGCCTTAACATTTAAAGTTGACAATGAAATTTTGGTTTTCAGGTTGTGGCATCCCAGGATTGGCCTGAAATCACTAAATATGCTGGATTAGTTTGCGCTCAAGCGCATAGGCAGGAGCTCATTCAGGATCTGTTCAAAGAGTGGAAGGATCCTCAGAAAGGGGTGGTGACTGGTGGCATGATAAAGTACGTTTTGTTCTTATTTACTATATTTGTAATTAGTTTTTAGCTTCAGCTTGCTCTCAAGTAACAGCTCTGTACATTTTTCTCCTTACTTTTGAGCAGGGAGTTACTCATAGCCTTCCGTAGATCAACTGGGCATAAACCGCTAAGGATCATCTTCTACAGGTATTAACTCTTCCTATGGCACTTACTTGACTAAACAACTTTGTATCTCTCTTTCTAAAATGTATGGTATGGTCTTTCTGCACAGGGATGGAGTCAGTGAAGGACAATTTTACCAAGTTTTACTCTATGAACTTGATGCTATCCGCAAGGTAAGAGTTACTTCTAACAAATGGCTTGTGTTGCGTGGTCGTTGTCTTCAGCTTAATCTGATTTTAATTTCAACCCATTTTAGGCCTGTGCTTCGCTGGAAGCTGGTTATCAGCCACCAGTGACATTTGTGGTGGTGCAGAAGCGCCATCACACGAGGCTGTTTGCTCACAACCACAATGATCGTCATTCGGTGGACAGAAGTGGGAATATCTTACCTGGTGAGACACGTTTGGATATTTGTTAAGCTTATTGAGCGTATAGTTAATCAGCTGCAAATCCCTTCCATTGTTTTTTTTACCCCTTCGTTAATTGTAGGCACTGTTGTGGACTCTAAAATCTGTCACCCTACCGAGTTTGACTTTTACCTCTGTAGTCATGCTGGTATACAGGTATAATTTGTAATCTCAAATGAGTTTGTGGGTGAGATCCTATTTAACTGTTTAACAAATCAAAATTCCATGAACAGGGAACTTCTCGACCAGCTCATTACCATGTTCTTTGGGATGAGAACAACTTTACGGCAGATGGACTTCAATCTCTGACCAATAACTTATGTTACACGTAAGATTTTTGTACCCTTTGTTACATATTCGTTGTTACAAGTGTTCGTAAGATAGCAAGGAAAATAACATTAAAACTACCTTTTTGACTTGTACAGGTATGCAAGATGCACACGATCAGTTTCAATTGGTGAGTATTGTGTTCCCCCCCCCCCCCCCCCCCCCCTCCCTTAATGGCATCTTTGATTTTGACATAAAGAAGAGAGAATTAAGTATTTAATGTTTTGTTTTTGTTTTGGGATATTGTAGTGCCGCCTGCATATTATGCACATCTAGCAGCTTTTAGGGCTCGATTCTACATGGAGCCGGAGACATCAGACAGTGGTTCGATGGCTAGCGGGAGCATGGCACGTGGAGGTGGAATGGCTGGTAGAAACACACGTGGGCCTAACATCAATGCTGCAGTGAGGCCACTCCCAGCACTGAAAGAGAATGTGAAGCGTGTTATGTTCTACTGCTGAGTTGGTTCGCACCCTCTATCTATCTTTATGACCTAATTAATGAATAATCTTGTTTACTTTCTAAGACTTGTCTTATGTCTACTTGTTACTGAGAGTTTGCGAGTTTGCGAGTGTTTGGATATTTCATCTTTTGCCAATGTTTATGAGCAAGAGTATGAGATGCTTTATGATACTTAATGATACTTATGTTTGACGATTACCAAAATTGACTTTCTTTAGCTGTGTTGAATCTTTATTAAGATTATTTGTGTTTAGAGATGTTTTGGTTTGTTTATATTGTCGACCACAACACTACATGGTGAGTAAACATGGGCTGGAGTTAATTGGATTTAGAGGCGTGTGTTGAAAATTCCTACCAAATTTGATTTCGGCGAATATTACTGCCTCTTTTATGCTTTCTACTGATTTAACAAATCTCCAAAATCCTTCATGGTGAGTTATATATATACTCATGCTGCTCGATGAACGAATCCGTTCCGGATATTTGTAGCATTTATTGTAAATTCTTCAAAGTCCATTAATGTCCATATCCATCTCTTACTGATGCATCCGTTTGCCTTCTTTTTCCTTATAATTTGAAAAATGGGTTTTTGAATTTTCCTTGAGCTTCCCCTGTTTCTTCTCTACCTTCCCTTAACCAGCAATCGACAGAATCCATGGATGCCTCTCAGTCTCCTCTTACACAGTTTCCATCTCTCTCCGGTACACTAACCTTCCTATTCGAAAATTTGAAACTTTATATATGTTTTTGTGCTTACTTGGTTTGAAATGTTTGATGAATGACAACAGAGCTGGAGTCTCGGATGCAAGTAATGCGCGTCTCTGCTCTTGAAGAAAACCAAACCGGTGAAACATTTTCTCAACGTGCTGAATGGTTTTACCAGAGACGTCCTCTCCTTCTCTCACTCTGTCAAGATCTCTACGATGGTTACGCTACTCTCTTGGACCGTTTCAATCAAAACCCTAAACAAGTCATTCCTCATGACAATGATACCGATACTGATATCACTTCTGAAGTAGAGAGCATCTTGTCCTTTCAACAGATGGAAGTCTCCACTTGTGATAAGCACAAGAACATTGAAGAGTTAGTCTCGCAGCTAATGACTGCAAACTGGGAGAAAGATACCGCAAAGCACGAGTTGCAACGCAGAGAACAAAAGTTGCAAGAAGCTTCCAAGACAATTGACTTGCTAAAGAAGCTTGTGATGTTACTTGACATGGAGAAAGAAGTAGCTGTAGAGGAAACCGCAAATCTCGGATACAAACTCACTTCTCTCCTGGAAGAGAACCGAGAGCTCGCCACTGAAGCGCTGTTTATGAAAAAGGAAGCAGTTAGGCTTGCTAGGTGCGTGCTTAAGATGAGGGATGAACATTTTCACAAGGTGTGTCATCTCCAGAACCAAATCTACACGTTGCAGTCATCGAGAGAGTCTGTCTACGAAAATGTATCCTCGCCGAGCTGCTTTGGATTGGATAATAGTAAGAACAAGAGCAAGAAGAGAAAGATGAGTGAAACTAGAAGTGAAACTGGAGAGAAAAAGAGATCCAAGTGGTTAAAGAGACTCAATACCATCAATCCATTTACCAAATGTAGCATTACCCCATCGTCTTCTCCGCTCCATCATGTTGCACTCTAAATTAGTTACTACTCTTTACATTGTATTTCTGATAATTCATTAGGATTGGATAATAAATAATAATAATGCTTGCATGTGTTCTATTTGCCTTAGCAGTGTTTAACAAATCTACATAAGAGACTAGCGCAGCTCAAGTGCGCTTACTTAATTTCTCAACTTTTTAATTTTAGATTATAAAAAAGAGAGCTTTGTGTTCTCTCTCTCTCTCTCAGATGCCATCTTCAAGCAAAGCAAGAAGCTTTTCGATCTTCTCGGCTCCTCTGCCGTCGTAAGTTTGTCTTTCTTCTGTCTCTTTCTGAATTACACTCTCCTTCGATTTAAAGGATCTATCTTTGATTCTGGGTTTTGTTTATTCCAACACTTCCATTGTTCAAAAGCAACGCATTCAACTTGTTGTGACCCTTAATCGGGTTGCTTTAGTGTGTAGTAGGTACAATTAAAGCTTAGTTTATGGCTATGGATTCTTTTAGAGATTCAAATTTAATCAGCAATTTGCCAGATGAGATTCTTGGCAAAATCCTGTCTTTACTTCCGACAAATGTGGCTGCTTCGACATCGATTCTGTCCAAGAGGTGGAGGAATCTGCTGACTCATATAGATAGCCTTTATTTTGATGATGCGATGGTTGTGTATCCAAACGAAGAAGAAGCACTAAGTGGTTCAGATCGCTTCTGTGATTTCGTAGACAAGACATTTGCTCTGTTAAGCAATTCTCACATGAAGAAATTCGCTCTGCGTCATGTACCAAGACTTGACCATTACGATGCATACCACCGTTGGATTTCGACTGCTATGGAACAGGAACGTGGTTTATTGGAACTACGCTTGCACGCCGATCCACGCTGTCATTTTGTGGAGATAGAGAGAGAGAGTTGTTGACGAGCAACACACTGGTTAAGCTCACACTATCCGGTCAATATTCTCTTGAAGTCAAGCGTGTGTTTTTCCCTGCGCTCAAGTCACTTTCTCTGTTATCAGTTTCCATGCTTAATTATGACAACTATTTTCGCCTCCTCGATGGCTGTCCTGCGTTGGAAGTGTTATACATACGTGATGCTGATCATTTCGCTTTGCCACGTTGCGGTGCGTTTGTGAAAAGTTTATCCATCAAGCGACTTGTGGTTTTTGTCAACCTTCCATATTCTAAAGAGCACCACAAAGTATCTTGTTTTGAAGCACCAAGTCTTGTGTACCTTGACTATTCCAGTTTTGTCTTCGGAAATTATCAGTCTGTTGATTTGGAGTCGCTTATCGAAGCCAGGCTGAATCTCAGGTTATGGGAGTCATATAACAATTATGGTTCTTCTGATGATGACGGTGATGATTATTCTGATTATACTGTTCATCATTATGATGGTGATGTTACAAATCTAGTTGCGGGTATAACCAACATTACAACGCTTCACTTGTCTCCTGATTCCCTTGAGGTCAGTTTCTGCTACTTCTTCTATTTTTGGTTTGTAGAAGGTTAGAATCAATCTACTGCTAGCTAGTTAGGTCTCTCACTATATGCTTTTTTTTTTTTGGTTGTTGGTGTGATCATATATAAATCAGGCAATTTATTTCCTCTGTAAATCCATGCCGGTGTTCAACAACCTCCTTAATTTGTATATTGAGAGTAACAAGGAAAAAGGTTGGCAAGTAATGCCACTTCTCCTCAAGAGTTGTCCAAACCTACACACTTTAGTCTTCAAGGTATTATCATTTTCCTTATTGAGATTCTTTCATCCTGTTAGTGTTTTCCATTTCAAATTGTTCTCTGGTTTCAGGGTCTTGTGCACAAATTAACAAATAGATGCGGAGATGCATGTGCTTGCATCCCTAAGAAGCAGAGAGTGATTGTGAGGGAGCAGGAGGAAGTTTGTTGTTTATTAACATGTCAAGTGAAGGTGCTAGAGATTTCAGAGTATAGAGGTTCTTTTCAAGAGCTGAAACAGGTGAAACATTTCTTGGGCAAGTTGGAATGTCTTGAAACTGTGAAAGTTGGTGTTGTCGCGGACACCACCAATCGCTTTGTCGCAATGTAAAAGTAACTTGACATGAATATGATTATATCACTAAAATGTCATTAAAGTTGGTTACAATCTGTTTATTTTTTAAAGATACGTATTACGTATGTATTGTTCTTCTTCCTGTGATCGCTGGAAGCTAATGGAATCAAACTCCTCAAAGGTCTCACAGTGATTGCCCCTTAAAATTCGTTTCAAAATCAGGCTGGTTTGTGACTGAGCGCACCCACGCCCACTTGTGGTCACTCGTGTTAACTTTGTTCTTAGTCAGTGCCACCTCCTCTAAGGGGATATAAGCATAGTTCCCATTGATTGGGCCAGGCACGAACCCTGTGTAACCAGCCATGACTCCATGGATGGCCGAGTGGGCCAAGAGTGTACAATACAAGTTGTCCGTAGCATTTGCAGGTACAGCTCTTATCATGTAAGTGGGATCGATATACTTGACGGTGAAGAGCTCGTCTGGATGCTCTCGGCCCCACCAGTCCTTGAGCACTGACTTAAACCAGACTCCGACATCCAAGAAAACAGGGTTGCCAGATTCATCCCTCTCTTGTTTCTGTGATTCATTTCTTGGGATCATCTCTTGGCCTGCCCCTTCAGCCACAACAAGAACAGCATGCCCGCGTTCTTTAAGTCTTTTCTCCAGAAACTCAAAGAGCCCACCTTTGCCTTCAAGGTAGAAGTCCATCTCAGGGATCAAACAACAGTCCACATCACGGCTGCTAAGAGTGGCATGTAGAGCAATGTGGCCAGTACTTCTGCCCATAAGCTTCACAAGTCCAATGCCATTGACTGCGCTCTCGGCCTCCACGTGAGCAGCAGATATAGCCTGCTGAGCCATCTCTACAGCCGTTTGAAAGCCGAATGATCTATCAATGATGCCGACATCGTTGTCCACGGTTTTGGGAATACCTGTGATTCCCACCTCCAGTTTCCTGAGGCTGATTTCCTTGAAGATCTCGACAGCCCCACGCATTGTGCCGTCTCCTCCTATTATATACACCTGACACAGAGGCAAAAGAGGGAATTTGGTTCAAACTCAACAACAACTTGCCTGCTTGATATATAATTAATGTTGTAGAACTCAACCTGGTTGAAACCGTTGAGTTGGATGGCATCGACGATCTTATGGAGATGGAAGCCACCTCGGGAAGTGGCGAGGACAGTACCACCCTTCTTGTGCCAATCATGAACCGCCTTGGGATCTAACTTGACGGCTTCCATGGAATAAAAGCCTCTGTAGCCAGCTGGAATGCCATAAATCTCTCTGACACCGTAGAGCTCCCAAAGACCCACCACGAGCTCTCTTATGACTGTGTTCATGCCAGGGCACAGCCCACCGCACGTAACGATCGCCGCCTTCACAGCCGATGGCTCGTACATGATCTCACGGCGAGGACCAGCCCTGTGGTAGGCCACGCGTGATTGGGATTGGGCGGAGAGGTCGTAGGCAACCTGGGCGAGAATGACGTCAGAAGGAGTGATGTAGAAGCCATTGGACGGGTGGAAGAAGGGATTATCTTCCAGTGGATTACGGCGGTCATGGAGGCCGGAGAGAGATGGGATGCTAGTAGCGCCGGTCATTCTTCGGTGATACCGAGAAGAAATGACAGCATCGGATATTTATTTAAGGGTGGAGGAGGCGGTCGCGCAGGCCTCGACACGTCGCGTGGTCACTTTATTTATTTATAAAATATACTATTTTATATGGATATTTTACTGAGAGTTTGCGAGTGTTTGGATATTTTTCATCTTTTTTTTTTTTTTTTTTGAGCAAAAAGATATTTTTCATCTTTTGCCACTCTTTCTCTATGACTATGAGATGCTTGCTTTATGATACTTTTGCTTGACAATTACTTTCCTTTTTTCAAAACTGACTTTGGTCCTTTCTTTAACTCTTGTATTAAATCTGTATTATGATTATTTTGTGGTTAGAGTGGAACATTTTCAAATTTTGTGGTTAGAGTGGAAAAGGCAATGATACCGATACTGACATCACTTCTGAAGTAGAGAGCATCTTGTCCTTTCAACAGATGGAAGCAGAGCCGGCGCAAGATAAACTGGGGCCACAAGCCCAATATAATGTTTGGGCCGAACTATATTGTAAACAAAGGAAAAGAAATTAAAACAGGTAAAATGTGTTACAGTAAAGGTTCGAACTTGAGACCTTAGTAATATTTCCACGTCTTTAAACCACTAGACTAAAGAGACTTTTATGTAAATGAGGCCGATTAAGAACTACATATTTTTGGGGCCACAAGCACATGCCTCACCAGCTTGTGTCTAGGGCCGGCTCTGGATGGAAGTCTCCACTTGTGATAAGCACAAGAACATTGAAGAGTTAGTCTCGCAGCTAATGACTGCAAACTGGGAGAAAGATACCGCAAAGCACGAGTTGCAACGCAGAGAACAAAAGTTGCAAGAAGCTTCCAAGACAATTGACTTGCTAAAGAAGCTTGTGATGTTACTTGACATGGAGAAAGAAGTAGCTCTAGAGGAAACAGCAAATCTCGGATACAAACTCACTTCTCTCCTGGAAGAGCTCGCCACTGAAGCGCTGTTTATGAAAAAGGAAGCAGTTAGGCTAGCTAGATGCGTGCTTAAGATGAGGGATGAACATTTTCACAAGGTGTGTCATCTCCAGAACCAAATCTACACGTTGCAGTCATCGAGAGAGTCTGTCTACGAAAATGTATCCTCGCCGAGCTGCTTTGGATTGGATAATAGTAAGAACAAGAGCAAGAAGAGAAAAATGAGTGAAACAAGAAGTGAACATGGAGAGAAAAAGAGATACAAGTGGCTAAAGAGACTCAATACCATCAATCCCTTTCCCAAATGTAGCATTACCCGCCTATCGTCTTCTCCGCTCCATCATGCTGCACTCTAAATTAGTTACTACTTTTTACATTGTGATTCTAATAATTCATTAGGATGGAAAATAATGCATGTGTGTGTTCTCTTTGCCTTGTTAGACATAACAACATTTAACATCAAAATATGCAAAACTATATGAAGTACACCAAATATAAAAAAATGGTTCAATAAGAGTAAAGACTAAACCCTATGATTCACCACTCATCTGACCACAATGGAGACATTGTTGTTGTGAGAAAGTGCTGGAACCTCGAGGTCTTTAAACTTAAACCAAAGTAGGATCATCGTGTCTAATGTCTTTGTGTTTTTAAGCACGAGTTCCATGAATGAAACCATATGCTTTGACTCTACATCCAAACGGGACGTGTTCCAATCGACCCCATCTTTTGATCTCCAGCATTGATCCGGATTCAAGCCTTCTTGCTCCAAGTAGTTGTCAAGATCCTCCTCCTGCTCAACAGATGAAATTCAAAAATGGTTCTTGGATATATTTGGCGATTGTTAGAAGGGAAGCCAAGGGAAATTAATAAAAGAGGCTAAGAGCACTTGCAATGGCAGCTCTATGCGTCGTCCCAGTCCATTTATTTTTTAAAAATAAATCAAAAACCCTCATTAAACACAGAACCGTTCCCACACGAGAGAACGTTTATTCACCGTCCCACACTGCCACGTGTTCTCGCGTGATTGGTCGCGTGTTTATTTTGTGCCGTCGATTGATTTTCGCCTTCCTTTTCTCTCGTCGGCGAAAGCTTTGGCTCAAGCTTTGTCCAGCTATTTCATCTCCTCTTCTTTCAAATCGTGTCTTGTATTTCACTCTCTTCCACTCCGATCTGTTGTATCGTTGAATTGAAAAAGTTTCCACCAACAACCGATATAAACGAGGTAGGTTTTTCCATCTGAAATTTTCAGATTTAGAGGATTGTGGCATCAATTTTGATCTTCCGCTATGAATTGATTTGGATTGTTCTTTTGATTGGAATCAATTTTTGAGAATTACAAGTGTGGTTGCTATAGTAAAAGCTATAATTGATTTTGTTTTACTGTATTGATCTTAAGTCATCAATTTGTTATCTTCTTTTATCGGATCTCATCTCTTTGGAATTTGTTATCTTTCTTGTGGCTGATTCGTATAGTCTTAACCTCGTAGACCAAAACAGGGTAACTTCATATACAAGCTCTGTTTTTTTTTTTTTCCGATATGGTGTAATCAATATAACTATGATCTAATATCAACTGAAATCATTCTTGGAAAAACCCTCCTTAACCTTATTTGTTAACACAATAGTTATGATGCTATAGAAGAATGTGTTATTTGTTGATACAATAGTTCTGATGCTAGAGAAGAATTATGAGTTATGTATTGTTTCATTTTGAAACGTCTAAGAGTTTCTGTTTATATTGTCCATTTTAGGCACTTGTGGATGCCCCTAACATGGAGAGAATCCAGATGAATTTAAAGAGATTGTCTCTTACTGACATTGTGATTGATATCAACAGAGTGCCCAAGAAGAAGAATTTGATTGAGGCAACGGACAAGGCTGGTGAGTTTGTTGTAGCTTACATTTGGTTATTTCTTGCCTTGTTTGGTTGGTTGGGTTGGGTCATCTGAATAAAACCATGTTGTGAATGTTTTAGTATCTAAGCCATTGGCTAGAAACCTCAAAGTCTGCGGGAACAAAGGTACAAATGCAAAGAATTCTTTCCATGAATGTTTATAGTCAAATTTTTGTAGAAGGTCTTTGTTATTATCTAGTTAATACTTAAAAGTTAAAAGCTGATGTGATTAACTTTTCAGGAGTTTTTTCTTCTCATGGTGATCTTGCAGAGGACTTATCTCATATCAGTGATGTTGAGGTAAGTTATATAATGTTTACCTTAACGTTTGATTGATGCTTATTGTAGCTCCCACAAATTTCGACACATGTATTTAAATAATCATAGCATCTCTCAACCTTTCTCAAGGAGGATATAATTTGTTCTTGTGGAAGTTTATCTAATTTAAATCCCATCTATGGTTTTAGTCTCTGTATACCAACAGGTGCATCAACCTTTGAATCTTTCTTATTGGTTTAGTCTTAAGCGAGTCAGGTTGAACTTATAAGGATTAGGTTGTGGTTTATCTGTCTGCAGGTCTTGGTTCTCAAGCAGAGGATATATGGGCAAAGGAAAACTGTCAGGGAAATAGTTGGAGAGGAGCAGATGAGTCTGAGAATGGTGGCACAACAAGAGGCTTTCACATTGGTGGATATTTTTGATGGATCTGATAAGTTTTTGTTTTTGTTTTTTTTTCCAACTTTTTGTAACTTTGTAATTTTCATATGTTTTCAATGTTAATGTTATATGTTTTATTTTAATTAAAACTTTTATATGTTTTTACTTATTAATTTAAATAATTAATTTTTTAAATATCAAAATATTATTATTTTATTCAGGGGACAAAATGTGAGGGACACCAATGCTAATACCAAACTTAAGAAACTCTGAAAATAATTTTATTATATTTGAGGGACCAAAATTTGTACCATTAAACCATTGCTCATGGTCTAATGGTAAATATATACCCGTATGGCGTTGTTGCAATTCTTTGCGTGTACTGTTAGCTGTTTTAAATCAGGTGAGTTTTGTAACACTCTTTCTATACCAGGAATAACATACCGGAAGATTACAGTCTCAAGAGTCAAATATTTCACTTTCAACATCGGAAAAGGAACACCACGAACCTCGGCAAGAGATAAAATCTAACAAAAAGCAAAGAAAGATAGTGAATACCGAGATGCATAAACTTATAGAAAATCAAATTCTAATGGAACTAGTGATTCTATAGTGATAATAATGCAAGAATGAGGCCAAAACATACATGAAGAAAGTTTTCCTTAAGAGTAAGCTCTTATCTACATTCTGCAACTTTTCTAGCATCGTGAGCGCCATGACTTGCAGCTGAAGGAAATCATCCTGGAAGGTCGGAATAGTTGAAACAAAGAATAAGTCGAGTTTAGCTTCGGCTAAAGACGAGCCAGCAACAAAAGTAGATGAAAGCTGAGAGTTAATTAATCTGAGATAATGGATATGTGGTGCCACAATCTGCGTCCCCAGACCCCAAAGGTTGCAGTCTAATTTTAGTATTCTCAAACGCAATGATTTGCTGAGATCAAGAACACTCAGTTTAACGCATAGACACAGTGTTAAGCTTTCGAGAAGAGGACAACTAGATAAAATCTTAGCCATGGATTCATCAAAGAGACTACAACTAAGCAAGCACAACTTCTTCAGCGATGTCCAAGACACACAACATCCGGAAATCATGATATCAGAAAAGTTGAACCTAAGTATGAGTTGCTTGACAGAGGAGTTGATGTAGAAGAAATCAGGAAACTTATACTTATGATAGGAAAAAGGTTTCCAGAAATCCAGATACATGTTCTCCACGTTGCGGGACATGGCGAACTCGATCCAACTGTCGATGTGGGGAGCATTCTGCTTCACGGTGGTTTTGAGGTGTAAATTTTATTATCTTCGGAGCTTTGTACAGAGTAATTAGGGTTTTGTTTATCGAAGCAAACTTCAGTGTCACGTTATCGTTATCTTCATCGAAGGAGATAGAAGGTATATCGCACCAAACATGCCTCCATCGTTTTGATAAAAGGGAAGTGGCTAATTTAGTTGAAATAAAGGAGAGGATATGTTGGAGGATGACATCAGGTAAAGAGCTAATTGACTCTACTCCTCCTTTGATTTTCTGAAAACCTTTGTGGTGGCTAGGGGATATTAAATCGGCGGTGAGGAAGCTGTCGCCGGCCATCTTAAGTTAGCAATTTGCGATTTTGCTAGGGTTTGTCTATAGTCAAACGTGAGTCACACGCTTCCAAGTCACAAAATATGATATGAGTAACAACAACAAAGCCCAAAATAGTATAGGGTTTTTAGGTTTTATAAACAACCTAATAAGATATAAGGCCCAGAATAGTAAAGGCCCAAAGCTTTTCGATCTTCCCGAGTCTCTCTCTCACTCTCCTACGATTCAAAGGATCATCTTTTTGATTCCATAGGAGGAACTTGTTATGCCCCTAATCGAGTTTGAGTGTGTTAGGTACAATCAAACCCCTAATTTTATGGCTAAGAGCTCTTCTAGAGATTCGATCAGCAATTTGCCAGATGAGATACTTGGCAAAATCCTGTCTTTACTTCCGACAAAGGTGGCTGCTTCGACATCGGTTCTGTCCACAAGGTGGAGGAATCTACTGGGTCTTGTAGACACCCTTTGTTTTGATGAGTCGCTGGTTGTGTATCCTAACGAAGAAGAAGCAAAAAGTGGTTCACTTCGCTTCGTAGATTTCGTAGACAAGACATTTGCTCTGTTAGGCAATTCTCACATCAACAAGTTCTCTCTGTGTCATGAGCCCAGACCTGGCTATAACGATGCATACCAACGTTGGATTTGGACTGCAATGGAACGTGGTTTATTGGAACTACACTTGCACGCATATAGACACTATTTTGATATAGAGACAGAGTTGTTGACGAGCAAGACACTGGTTAAGCTCACACTATCCGGTCTATATGCTATTGAAGTCAAGTATGTGTTTTTCCCTGCGCTCAAATCACTTTCTCTATTATCAGTTTTAGGGCTTGATTATGACAACTATTGTTCCCTCCTTGATGGCTGTCCTGCGTTGGAAGAGTTATACATACGTGATGATGATCTTTTGGGTTCGCCATGTTGCGGTGCGTTTGTGAAAAGTGCATCTATCAAGCGACTTGTGGTTTTTACTAATTGTCCAGATTATAAATACGATCACGAAGTATCTTGTTTTGAAGCACCAAACCTTGTCTACCTTGACTACTCTAGTTACGTCTTTGAAAAGTATCAGTATGTTGCTTTGGATTCGCTTGTTGAGGCCAGGTTGAATATCAGATTATGGCAATCAACTAAAGATTATGATCCTTCTTCGTCTTCTGATGATGATGATTATGACGAGGATGATGATGATTATAATTCTGATTATAATGTTTATGATTATAATGATGATGCTATGTTTGGTGATGTTACAAATCTAGTTGCGGGTATAGCCAACATTACAACCCTTCACTTGTCTCCTGATTCCCTTGAGGTCAGTTTCTGATACTTCTTCTATTTTTGGTTTGTAGAGCTAGCAAGGTCTCTCACTTTTATATGGTTTTTGTTGTTGTTGTGTATCAGGTATTTCATATCCGTTGTAATTCAATGCCGGTTTTCAACAAACTCCTTAAGTTATCTATTGAGAGTAACAAGGAAAAAGGTTGGCAAGTAATGCCACTTTTGATCAAGAGTTGTCCAAATCTACAGACTTTAGTCATCAAGGTATTATCAGTTTCCTTACTGAGATTCTTTTCTGTTGTTGGTGTTGCCTATTAATTTATACATGTCAAATTGGTCTATGGTTTCAGGGTCTTGAGCACAGAGTAACAAATGGATGTGAAGATGCATGCGCTTGCAGCCCTAAGAAGCATATTAGGAAGAGGAAGATTGTAATGAATAAGAAGGAAGAGAAAATATGCTGTTTATGTATATGCCAAGTGACACTACAAGAAATTCGGTCATTGATAGTACACTAAAAACACTACTATATCGATTTTGTAGCGTTTTCATGAACGCTATGACAGAAGGAGCTATAATAGCCTCACCCCATATGATAGCATTTTTTTGAATGCTATGGAAAATGAACCTATTATAGCAAGTATCATATGCTATTGTATAAGTTATTCTAGCACTTGTTTCGTGCCACTCTATAATATGTCATGGCTTTTTATTAGTGCCATAGAATATTTTATTATGACACGATTACAATGTTGTTGAATACAGTTATTTGGCTGCCAAAATTGTGCACCTATTCGATCAATTCTGGGATTTATAAAAACCTATTGTGAAACAAAAAATCATAAAACAGCAATGCTTTTTCATTTAAGATCCAAAGCATACAAAGTGTACACATACATCATGAACTCTAAAAGAGAACATGTAAACATACATCAAACCAGTTCATAAACAAAACAGAAAGTCTTTATCAAGTTCTCAAACATAGCTAAACTTAATTAAAAGCAGAAAACATATTTCATTCCATCATCAGTTCAGATTAAGCAATTGAGTTCACTCCTGAAAACAAAAATATCTTAGATTAGTATGACATAGGTAAAATGAATCACAGCAAATTAATGATTACAAATCTCACCATTAATGGTTCCACTTTATCTTCTGGCCATGCAATAGAGGTTCCAAATGCATCTTCCATACACTCGATCTCAGAAGATCGTCTCCAAACTGCAGCATCTTTATCCTTGACAACATCCACCCAGACTCGACATGCTTTAGGGCCCAAAGGTACAAAGTGGACAACACTGGCAGGATTATTCGATGACCAACGTCCTTCAGCAACGACGTGGTTCTTTCTGATCAGATCTATCAACTTACATTTTTGATTTTCCTTGAATGCAACAGGCTACAAAGACAACCAACAAACAACCAGACAAACAATTAAAACAACAAACCACAATCAATCATGTTTATCAAAGTCAACAGCCCAACCATCAATCATGTAACACAGTAAATTTAAAAGAAAGTACCTGCAATTTACGACGAGGAGATGCGCGCGCCGCTTTCAAAGTTGTTGCTGGTTTCTTTACAGGAGCTTTTGGAGTTACTGGAGACTTCTCATTCTGATAACCTGTACTTGATGCTTTAGATGTAGATGGTTGAAGAGGAGGAGATTCTGGAGTTGTCTCCATCACAACTCTATTTGCAGGCCATGCTACAAAACAGTTCAAAGAATCCTCCACATTTCTCATGTTAACTGTAGGCCTCCATAGATATGCCTTAGGGTTTACTACCACATCCACATATACCTTCATTACATTTGGACCAAGAGGAAGTCCATTTACCAACGCTTTAGGTTATCGAGTCTGAAATCGACCTTCAGCGATCACTTGATCATTCGTACTATAATCCATGAGTTTGCATTTGTTCCTTATACTTGTGCCAGGGCTCTGCGAAATTCAAATGTACCAAACAATGAAAAGAAAAAATAATTATCAGACTCAGATATAGATAAAGAGCATCTACAAATAACAAAAGTTAAGAAACTTAACCTTAGGTGCTATGTCTTCTGGTATACTACCATCAGTTGGAACAATACAGTAATCAGCATCCCATGCAACCATTTCGCCAAGTGCATCCTCAAGAGTAAACATGTCAGGTGCAGGTCTCCAGAGAAATGCTTCTGGTTTAGTAACTAATTCAACTAAAACCTTGACAGAGTTAGGCCCTAAAGGAATTCCATTCACCAACTCATCCTCATCATAAGAAACAACACGTCCCTCAGCGACATTCTCATCAGGACAGGACCAGTCAACCAAATAACACTTGGGAAGTGATTTGGTGTTTACACTCTACATGAAAAACAAACAATGAGAAATCAACTCATAAATATAAACAAAGGCAATATATAAATAGTTGGTACATACTCTATGAATCGAGTTTTCACCGATGTCAGACCCTTGTCTCTGTAATAAGATCTGCTCTAACTCATGAACCTTTTTCTGCAAACGAATCTGCTTTTCTTCCATTGCAGCCATACATTTGCTCTTGACTTGGAAACAAGCCAATTTTGTCAAGCTCATACCTCTACCCATTGCTCTCAATCTTCCAGGATTATCAGGTCCCAAAATCTGTGTAAGCATATCTTCCTTTGGATTCGTTGTCGTTGAATCATTAAGACTTTCAGTGTCTATCTCTTTTGCCTTTTGCTGCAAACACAATTACAGATCATAAGGTGGACCAAGCAGGATATCCAATTTCTAAAATCATACTGATAGGTAAAGTCAATACTTACAATCTTTTCAGCAGCAGTAATATTTACAGGCGTACCATCCTTCCTAGTACGCGACTTGACCCAAACTTTTAGCCTTGTGATCTTAGATGGTTCTGAGCTACTCTTTACCAATTCTTCTCTCAATCTGACCATTCCTTTACGCCCACAAGTGTGAGGTATCTGCTTCTTCCTTCTTGCCTTAAATGAATCACTTACAACCTGAATTAGAATGAAAAAAAAAGTGAGTATTCTACAGGCCAATAAACAAAGACAACTAAGTGAATACCTTGAAGGCGTTACTAGTCTTGGCTTTGACAAAGAGACGCCATGCTGTTGGAGGTACATTATTCGGTCGCAGACTCATCCTATCTTTCATGGTTCTAGCTTTCCTAACCTTGCTCACCATCTGCTTAAACACAGCATTCTTCTTATAGTCTTCGTCAATGTCAAACCTTGCCTTCATTCAAATGCACCAGGAAAAGAAAAAACAATTACTAATGTGAGGCAAGTTAAACTTAAAATGTGGATAATTTAATTATAGCTTACCTCAATAGATTTCCACAGAACAGTTTTGATATCTTCACCAACTTTTTTCCAAGTGTCGATTATGACAGGAACATGTTCCCGTAATAACGGACCCAAGTATGATGATAACAGCACTGACCCTGGGCCACAATGTTCTCCCATATCAGTGAAGTCAACATGTTGCTTTTCATTTGGATCCTTGGTGATGTGTTTCATCTTCGTTGGTCCTCATTGCTTTTTACGCTTTGGTTCAGCAACTATATCATCATCTGCCGCCTGTTCTTCAGGCACATTCTGTGTTTGCTCATCATCTCCATTAACTACATCATTACCAAATTCTTCATTCTCCTCATCTGCCGCCTGTTCTTCAGAGTTCTCTTCTAACTCATCTTCTTCATTCAGGCTACCTGCAGCTCCAGTACCTACATTATTACCAGCTTCATTAACTACATCATTACCAGCTCCATTCAGTAAATCATGACCAGCTTCTTCAGTCTCTATATCTGCCGCATGTCCTTGAGCAATGTTCTCTTCTAACACCTCTTCCAAGTCCCTTGTCTTTTTGGTTACACGCTTGTTTTTACGATTGCCCATCTTAGTTCACCTGAAACAAAAGAGAGAAATGTTAGAATACAGTTCATAGATGAAACACCAGTGAAAAAACAGACACACACAAAGAAACCAAGATGTATAACACTCAAATCAAAAGCAATAATGATCCAATTTAATTAAAAACGAATTCCAGGCCATCATAGATCCACAAAAAAAAACAAAACACTATTCTTTCAAACATAAATTCCTTCACAATCATGACGGGCATTTCTAGCTTCATCAACCAAGTCATCAGCTTCCATGTCCACTACTGCTGGTAATGGCCCCACATCTGAATTTCCATCTTCAGATTCTTCTTCACTGTATCTTCTTGTAGGACCTCTCATAGCTACATACCAACTAGATGACTCATCTACCCTTGAATAGAACACTTGCTTTGCTTGAGAAGCTAATATGTAGGGATCTCTTGCAAATGAAACTTGACTTTGGTTAAGGTTGACTAGCGTGAAGCCATCTTCTTTCTTGACTCCATTACCTATGTTTGCCCATTGACACCGGAATAGAGGAATGTAGAAAATGTTGTAATCAAGAAGTATAATCTCTACCACTCTGCCATAGTAGGATACAAAGTCAACCATCTGAGAAGTGTCTTTCGCACTGGCTCTACACATTGCTATGGCCTCATATAAGACCCCACTGTTCTGAGTTTGTCTATCAACTGAAGTAGTGTGAAACCGTTGCCCGTTGACAATGTAACCCGTGTAAGACCTTGTGCAATTACGAGGACCGTAAGCCAACCATTTAAGCGTATCTTCATGTTGTTCTGAACTGAGAGGTATCTATTTCAAAAAATTTTAAAGTGTCAGTGTATATTGAAGACAAGTATACATTGGAACCTACAAACAATACCATTATATGTTCTTACCCATAAGCAAAACATAAGAAAAGATAAACTGATCAAACACCAAACAGACTGTACCATAAGCAAAACATAACAAACCCATAAGACTAACTCAAACACCAAACAGACACATTGACATTCACATTAACAAGATTAAACAGTCAAGTATTAAACCAAACAAGAATTTAAAAGTCAGAAACAATGGAACCTGTAAACAAGACAAACTGCTTTAAGCTTCTGAAGATTGGTTTTGTGAGTTTTAGTCGTCAAAAGATCCAACCTGCAAACTAATAACAGAAGCTAAGAACCCTAACCTAAAGATTGTCTTCTGAATGTATATCTCGATTTCAATTGCAGAAATAAACAAAAATCAAAACCAGATTTCAAACAAATAAAAGAGCCATAACCTGAAGCTTATATTCGTGTTAGGTCCTCGAAGATTTCTCTAGAGCTACAATGAGAGTAAATGGAAAGTAATTAGAGAAATCGAATTAAGACATTGAGAAATCGAAGATTATATCTACAGCTCATTACTACAGATCTGAGTTGCCTACCTGTCGTGGGTTTCTTCTTCGATTTTGCAGATCACCGGAGACGACACCAACACAGCGACGGAGACGACAGCAACTCAGTGACGGAGAAGACATGCACCAGCTAAAGGGTTGATTTTCCTTTTCGAAACCAGAGAGAAATCGAGGGAATCGACTGGAGATCGAGGGAATCGAGAAGACAGAGGTGGCGGAATGACCGGAATTGGGTTTCCTGGTCGCCGGAAAATCGAGGGAATCGAGAAGACAGAGGTGGCGGAATGACCGGACAGGTTTCGATTTTTAGAGAAAATGACCTAAGTGTGTGAGAGTGTTTGGCTAAGTGTGTGAGAGTGTTTGGCTAAGTGTAGAGTCGCGGAAAAAACAAAGTTTTGGCTAAGTGTTTTGCCTCCAAAATGATTTTCTTTGCTACAGTAGTGATTTTTGGGTTCCCGCTTAGTGAAATTCTATTCCAGCACTAAATTAATGCTACAATATAGTTGCCATCCGATTTTGTAACTTTTAGTAGCAGTTAGTGAATTAGTGCTGCAATGATATGCTACCAATGACCGAATTTCTTGTAGTGTGAATGTGCTAGAGGTTTCAGGGTATGGAGGTTCTTTTCAAGAGCTCAAACAGATGAGACATTTCTTGGGAAAGTTGGAATGTCTGGAAACTGTGAAAGTTGGTGTTGTCGTGGACACCGCCAATAGAAATGAGTTCTTGCGAGCTAAACTGCTGACTCTCCCCAGACTTTCAACAAAATGCAACATCCAGTTCTTCTGATTTTCTTTCCTTATCTTTCTCGGTTAGATGGCAATGTGAAAGTAACTTGACATGAATTGATTACATCATTTTAATATCATTAAAGTTGGTTACAATCTGCTTTTGAAAGATACATAATACGTATGTGTTGTTCTTCTTCATATGATGTTGTAAGCTAATGGAATCACACTCCTCTGTTAACACCAAATAAATGTACCATGTAGTAATCAAGTGTGCTGATAAACAGTGTATAATATAAATAACTTGTTTCCATTCTATAGAGTAGCGAGGAATTGATATGGATTCGAAAGTTTACAGTTGAGTCCAGCTTTGGATTCTGTAACAAAAGATAGCAGTATAGCACATCAAAGTTTTGATACTGTGGGAAACAAGGAGCAGTTTTCAGACACAAAAACAGATTCGTTTTAAGTTTGATTACTGATTCTAATCTGTAACCAACAGCTTTGTCTGAATTGCTGGGGAAAGACTAGTGATCATACTCTTGAGTCTTGACAGATTCCAGATGAACGTATTGCAGGCAAAAAAATGGTAACAAAATCTGCAACATCAAGATTTATATTAGTCTGCTGGTATGTGTTAGCTTTCGCTTTGTCACAATGTAAAAGTAACTTGACATGAATATGATTATATCACTATAATATCATTAAAGTTTGTTACAATCTGTTTTTTTTAAAGATACATATTACGTATGTATTGTTCTTCTTCCTGTGATCGCTTGAAGCTAATGGAATCAAACTCCTCTACAGTAATCTAGAGTCCAATGTGAAAGCCATAACAAGCTTGTGTAGGGGTTTTGGAGTCCAATGTGACAAGATTGCTGTGTATAACCATGTATGTAGCTTGTATCCATTCTACACAAAACAGACGAGAAGGGAGGAATTGGCATGGATTCGAAAGTTTACAATTGACTCCAGCTTTGGATTATGTAACAAAAGATATAGCACATCAAGTTTTGAACTGTGGGAAACAGGCAACAGATTTCAGACACAGAAGCAGGTTCAATTTTTTTTTTTTTAAATTATGCAGTACAAGACAGGTTCTATACTTTTGACAGGTTCTAAAGCAAAGCATTGCAGGCAAAAACAATGGTAGTAACAAAGTCTGCAACATCAAAATTTATTTACTCCTAAAAACTGGTAAACGCAAAACCTTCCTTAGTCTCTTGGCACACAGAGCCGTTGCACTCCTGTAATGTTCTAGTGACCATACTATTGGTTGGGGTAAAGTCGATCAAAGAGCTATCTAAGTAGTAACAATGTCAAAGAGCTTTGCAGAAACATCTCCAGAGTCTACTGCAGCTACTAACCTGCAAAGAAAATAAATTGTTGATATATAATCAAGGAAGATTTAGAGCTTTTTTTTGCTTGTTTGTTAAAACAATCAGTGATTCTCTCTTACGGTATGTGGAGCCAGTGGAGGTATCAATTTGCTTTGGAAGGTCGTAGATAACAATCTCGTGATTCTTTTTAATCTGTCCAAGAATATCTTCATCACAAGGTGATGAGACACCCTTGCTTGCAAACCCTTGGTGAAGAAATGCTTCCTCGGTTTCTGGTGTATCGTAATGGATGATGATGTTGACTCGCCTGAACTCAACACCGTCTCTTCCTATAATGTGTTTCCACAAAAATTTTCTTGTCGCCTTCGTTCAAACTTATGTAGCAAGCCATCCTAGGCAAGTAAGTTTTTTTCACAAGAATAAATTTTATGAGGATATAAAAACAAGGACATATATCTGAGAATATAAAGCCTCTCTTTTTGTGACATATTAGAGTGACACACGTTGCTGGGAATTTCCATTTACCCATCAAGCTAATCAGCTCTTCGGCTCTGGACAAGCTCTTTACAGTCACAAGAAGTTGATTGAAGTCCAATGCGCCCAAAATGTCGCTTAGCTTCCTATTTTTCTCCGCTTCTTCCACTGTTACGGAATACTGTATAAAAGAAACAAAAAGACAATTAGACCAAACTCATCTATAAACCAGCACATCAGAGTATAGGAAATACATTACTTACTTGGACAAAACCATGAAGAGTAGAAAAACTCTCTTTGGCCACAAGTGTTTCCTTTCACTGAAAACAAATAGTTGAAGAAAGGCAAGAGAACAGTTGATAAGGTCTTAAATCGTGTTCAAGGAGACAATTGCTACAACCTTAAACAAGCAAAGCCAAATAAAAGAGATCTTAAACAAGCAGGCCAAGAAACAAGTTAATGTTCTAGATCTAATCATATTTTTGTTTTATTCTAAATTTACGAACCAAGCTCGAAATCAGACCAATGGATTCCAAGAGAAACTTGCTTGTACGGAAAAAAGAGAAGAATTCAAGAAACTAGAATGACATCCGCTAGAGGACGTCGTCGAAAGAATAAGAAGGTGCCATTCCAGTACAAGCAGTTTCTCTTGGAATCCAACAATACTCATCTCTGGTCTTTAAATAATGTCCATAATCAAAATGTATGTTTATGGAACTCATTGTGTCCTGAAAAAAAGAATAAGAATCTAATTTAGGATCTAGTGACATGTACTAGTAATAACAATTTCATGAGTTGTACCGGTTATACAATTTGTCTAACTAATATCAGTTTGTACAAATTATACTATTTGTCTAATGTGGAATGCTTGGATTGGTCGAAGAACTCACTTGTGATTGGTCGAAATAATGACTGCGATTGGTCGAATATTTTAAAATTTTCTTATTAAAAATAGATGGTGTAAGGGCAAAATAGGGTTTAAAGTTTTCATTAAGAGTAAATGAGTATTTCAGATTATAATGAGGATAAATTGTTATTTTTGAGAGAGGAGAGCATCTTAGAATTTGTCCCGCATTGGATGCAATACTCTTGAGATATTGCCCTTTTCTTGGTACTTATGTTTTCTCAAAGCATACTCAATTGTTTTTGCTTTCTTTTCATCATTAGTCTTTTTGATTTTTGATTTATCTTACTACATGAATATCAAATTTATTCCGAGTCAATCAAAATCTAGGTTTTTATAAATTGATATAATGAATGTTTTTGGCAAAAAAAATCAACTCTAGTGCTTATCTCTCGTTGCATTATAAACTTCAGACTTCTCTAGTCGTTTTTTTTGTTGAAAAACCTCTAAAATAGCACAAACGATTGATCATGAGTAAGGTCTTGGTTGCATGACGTCTCTTTTTCAATTGAACAGTCGCCTTTGTCTCCAGACACCAGGAGTTGTGGTTCTTCTTGAGCACGACGGTCACTATTTTCGTTTCTTACAAAAGTGATAAAATAATATTAAAACAACATTAATTGAATTATAAAAAAAATGTTACAAAATTTACCTATAATATGAAACTTGAAATATGGTGGTTAGTGGGATGGTGTTTTACTATTTATAGAGAGACGCATTATTACGTTTTATAAGTACTCCCTCTGTATCAAAAAATTTGATTTTATAGAGTTTTCATACTAATTAAGAAAATATTTAATGTTTAGTTATAAATGCACTATTTATTCATACTAAACCATTTATCATAACTATTAACCAATAGTAATTCATCAAATTTTAAAATTGTCAATGAATGATTCTTGAAATTCACAATTTATTAACACTAATTGATAAAAATTTACAGAAAATCAATTTTTTTGATACAAAAATAAAACCTCAAATATTCATTCTTTATGATACAAAGGGAGTATTAAATATTCACAGCTATGTTTTATTGTCATTTATGAGCTAAGTTAATTGTATTTATCGCACAAGAGTTATGTTACATTTCAAATAATTCATTTTGTATATAATCGTATTTGAAGTATTGTTGCAATTTAGTGTGAGAGAAAAGCTCAGCTCGCCTATTCAGGTCATGCAATCTGGCAGATTTGTAGCAGACGGCTTCCCAAGTCCACAATTTTCTGAAAATGTGGCTTATCATCCATGTTTATCATACAATACTTAGGCGTCCTTTGATCAAACATTAAGTTTTAAAAGACTGATTGCTTTTGCATGAGAACAGTTTCATGCTAAAAACAGTGTTTTTTTGTTACACTACTACTATGCCAAAATTACCTGAGATGATCAAAGCTAGGAGTGGCTAGGATTGATATAAAATTCAACTCAAGAAGCCTTTACCTCTTCTTGCACAGTCATCACTGTGATGATACAAAAAAAAATGCAACCTTTACAACAATGGTGAGTTCATAACTAACATTTTATTTTTGGGCCCTTTATTTGTTAAATTCACAGAGAGACATATAAAGTTGGAGAAGACGAATTTTCGAAGACCCATTAGAAGAATTTAGAGGGAGTAGAAGCAGAAGCATTAGTAATGGTACGAGCTTCATCTTCGAAGAAAGGAGGATCAAAAGGAGGAGATAAAGACGATGCAGAGTCGAAACAGAGGAAGAGATTAAAAACCCTAGCTCTCCATAACCAATTGCTCTCTGATTCTCCGGCGAAATCTCATTCCTCTCTCAAACCTTCAAAGCAAGTTCTAAAACACCATGGCACCGACATCATCCGCAAATCTCAGCGCAAGAATCGGTTTCTATTCTCTTTCCCTGGTCTTCTCGCTCCTATCTCCGGCGCTACTATCGGCGATCTCGATCGATTGTCTACCAAAAACCCTGTCCTCTACCTCAATTTCCCTCAGGTTAGATCTTTATTGTGTTTCTCAATGTTGAGGCATTACTACTACTACTACTGTGAATCTTAATCTTGCGACATTGTGGTTCTTTAGGGTCGTATGAAACTTTTTGGAACGATTTTGTATCCCAAGAACAGATACTTGACTCTTCAATTCTCCAGAGGAGGCAAAAATGTCTTGTGTGATGACTATTTTGATAACATGGTTAGTCTCTTATGCTTTGACCTATTCGGAGTTCTCTCTCTGTTTTACTGTATCTTGAGTCTTTTGGTAATGCACATAGATTGTGTTCTCTGAGTCATGGTGGATTGGGACAAAAGAGGAGAATCCTGAAGAAGCTCGTCTTGATTTCCCTAAAGAACTAGCTCAGGTTAATACATTTCACCTATTTTACATTTTCTCTTTAAGTCTAGTTGTTGCCACAGAGATGTTTAACATGATAAGAGAACTCTTTGGTTTCAGGCAGAGCAAACAGAGTTTGATTTCCAAGGTGGTGCAGGAGGAGCAGCTTCGGTCAAGAGGATGGTGA